AACATAAAAACCGACCCAGTTGTAGTACACTTTGTTTTATGGTTAATTACTGATTTATGTCTCTTGAAAATTTCTTTGTAAATGTATTTGAAGGATCACAACTTGGTAATTGATTACAGCCGTACTATATTTGAAGTTTAATTTTGACTTCACAGTTTTTAAACAGGAATCATAGGCCTGGTATCTTTGGTAAGTTTTTAAGGTGAATTTTCTGATAGTGTAGTAGAGGCTTTTTTATCAACAGTTTTTTTTAAATTCCGATCATTAAGAATATCATACTCCGTTGATAATACATATATTTCAATGAATATCATCAATTCCTAATGTTTTAATTGTACTATAGGTAACAAAAGAGCCAGTTTATTTATAGAATTAAAAGAATCTAAAGACGAAAGGTTTACAGAAAAGACGAAACGCTGAGTATATTTTCGGTGGTTCCCGAAGTGACGTCAATAGTTACGCAACCATTATCACAAAGACCTATAACATTGCGCAATGTAATGACTTTATTTTTATGAAACGGATACGTTCAAATTACAAACGGGATTCTTTTTAGATCGAATTAGACTTATCACCGAGTTTGTGCTTACATGAGCAACACGACGGGTGCCACATGTGGGGCAGAATCTGCTTACCCTTCCGGATTACCGGATAACCCTGACACTATTGAACTTGATCTTGCCTACCCAGATATAACACCGCATTGGACATGCATACCCAGATATAACACTATATTGAACATGAATGCCCATAGATAAATCCTTTTAAACATACATACCCATGGATAACACCCTATATAGATAATACTGTTACAGTATTGAAAATGCATACTCAGAGATAACACTGTATTGAACATATATACATACCCAATGATGACACTATTAAACATGCATACCCAGAGATAACAAAATATTGAACAAACATATCCAGAGATGACACTGTATTGAACATACGTTCCCAGAGATAACATTGTATTGGATACGCATACCTATAGATAAAATCCTTTTGAACATACATACCCAGAGATAACACTGTATTGAATACGCATACCTAGAGATACCTAGAGATAACACCGTATTGAACATTCATACCCATAGATAAAATCCTTTTGAACTAATACCAATAGATAACACTGTATTGCACATGCATACCCAGAGATAACACTGTATTGAACATACATACCCAATGATGACACTGTGTTGAACATACATACCCAGAGATGACACTATTGAACATAAATTCCCAAAGATAACACTATATTGAACACGCATACCTAGAGATAACACCGTATTAAACAAGCATACCCAAGGATGACACTGTATTGAACATTCATACAAGTACCCAAGGATGTTTTGCACATGCATCCCTAGAGGTTACACTGTGTTTAACATACATACCCAGAGATGACACTGTATTGAACCTACATTCCAAGAGATAACATTGTATGTAGCATGCATACCCATAGATTACACTGTATTTAACATGCAAACCCATAGATAACACTGTATTGAACATACATACCCAAAGATAACACCGGATATAAAATACATGTCCTAGACATAACACCGTATTGAACATACAAACCCAGAGGTAACCCTGTACTTAACATGCATTTCCAGATGACACTATTGAACATGCATGCCCAGAGATGACACTGTATTGAACATGCATACGCAGAGATGATACTGTATTGAATATGCATACCAAGAGATACCACTGTATTGAACATGTATTCCCAGAGATAAAACTGTATTGAACATAAATACCCAGATATAACATTATATTTAATATGCATAACCAGAATAAACATGGCATCTGACATGCATATTTAAAGGTAACAATGGATTTAACGTAAATTGTTCTAAAGTTTACATGTATTTAAAATGCATACAAAGAGATAACGCTATATTTTACAGTCAATGTTGGCATTTCATTGTAAAGATTTGTAAACAGTTAATTTATAATTATGACCATAGAAATGGTAATTCATGTCAACACAGAAGTACTGATTACTGGTCTGGTAGAGGCATCGACCCAGTGGTTGCAAATAAACTCATCATAGATACCAGTTAATTGGTATCTGATGATTTACTGATGTATTAACTTTTTTAATTTTTCATATAGTGCTCACAAACTGAATCATTCTTCATGTTATGTGTTGAGTTTTTAAAATATATGTTGAGGCCGATTGAGATAATGAAAATTCATAAATTGATTAATATTAACTTTTGTTCTGTAAGCTGTTAAAAGAGATATTGGTCGGACAAAGCGGCGTAACCCCAACATATATAGATGTATTTACCTATATGGTGTTTGTGCTCTATGTAACTGGTAAAAAAGAGAAAAATATACAAACAAATTATGTAAAAGAGGCGGAAAACATGAAGGGGACATTCAAAGTCAAAACTCATAAACTAAGAGTTATGACAACACCTGACCATGGCAAAAAAAAGACGTCCTATAGACAAACCAGTTCACAAAACACTACATAGAAAACTAAAAAACAAAACACTACATAGAAAACTAAAAAACAAAACACGAACCACCACCAACAACTTGTGTTGAGCTCATGTGGTCTGAAAGGGTAAGCAGATCCTAGTCCAAAGTGGCAGCCGTCGTGTTACGCATGGTAAGTACACACTTAATGACTTATATAACAGTAGCTACTTTGATGATAATCAAAATCTCCGTAAAAGAAAAGAATTATACGGTTTGAATAGTCATTAGGTATTTGAAATGCAGATAGCAATTCATTATACCACCATATTGCGATGAATTTCTTAGCTTTTAAAATCTCGTTGGAATGAATAGTTTCACCTGAAACACTTGTAAGGAATCCAGGGACAACACTATATATATTTTACGTGCAAATATCTGTATTTAAGATGAATAAGAGTGCATTGTTTTGAAATTTCGTCTTACCAAAATGTAACAACGTATCTTACACAGATACCCATTTATAACACTATATTCCACAAACATATCCATAGATAAAAATGTTTTATCGTAAATTCAAGAGATAACACTATTAACTTGCAAATCCTTCCATAACGTTATATAACTAATCTTTGAGTTCATGCGATTCCCTCATATACTGTTTGTTACCTTGATTAGTATCTCGTCTTAGTATCTTCCTAATCGTTTGATCATATGTGTACATCGGTAAACTTCTTTTGACTAAGTGTGTTACCTTGATTTGTATCTTTTTAATTATTTGATCAGATTTGAACATCGATAAACTTCTTTTGACTAAGTGTGTTACCTTGATTTGTATCTTTTTAATTATTTGATCAGATTTGAACATCGGTAAAATACTTTTGCTTAAGTTTGCTACCTTCATTCGTATCTGAATCGTTTGATTAGATTTGTTCGTCGGTAAACTACTTTTGCTTAAGTTTGTTACCTAAATTTTGTATCTTCTTAATAATTTCATCAAATTTGCACATCAGTAATCTACTTTTGTCTAGTTTGTTACCTTACTTTGTATCGTCTTAATCGTTTGATCAGATTTGTACATCGGCAAACTACTTTTGCCTAGTGTGTTAATACAAATAAGAAGATGTGGTATGTGTGCCAATGAGACAACTCTCCATCCAAGTCACAATGTATAAAAACTTAACAATTATAGGTCAAAGTACGGCCTTCAACACGGAGCTTTGGCTCACACCAAACAGCAAGCTATAGAGGGCCCCAAAATGACTAGTGTAAAACAATTCAAACAGGAAAACCAACGGTCTAATCTATATAAAAAACGAGAAACGAGAAACACCTATGAACCACACCAACAAACGACAACCACTGAACAACAGGCTCCTGACTTAGGACAGGTGCATAAAAATATATTCTTAGTCGTATTATTAGATTTTAACAGGCGGAAACCCAGTTGAAATTAAACAAAAGAAATGAAACTCTTTGTTAGAGAAGGTAAAAAAGGCCAAGTTGGTAAATTTGAATTGTTTACATCTGTTTCTATGGGCTTTAAAAGTTTAATGAATTTGCCTAATTTAGGATTTAATGTGTCTAATGTATGTGTTTTTACTAAAATTATGGTATGGAGCTTCAAGATATTTGACAATTTCTGAATTATGGACAAATTTTCACAAAACGGTCGATTGTGGTAGGTGCAAATACATGTGGATCTTTTTTGTCCATAAGCATAAATTCCGCCGAAAAAAATTCCGAAGAAAGAAAATAGAGTGATCTTTTTAACGCATTAATTTGCATCTCTGCCCCCGGCGGCAGTTTTCTGGGAAAAAATCCCAAAAATTGGCAATAATTACATCAAAAAGAGAAAGTCGAGTACACCTTTTTATGTTCAGGCGTGTTTGAGTTGACTATTCTGTCTTGAAAACGTATAAAAGAAAAATATTTGATACAGCATCCCGCTTCATATTCTATTATTTTTATATATTTAGGCTCTACGTTGATATAATAACATTAAAAATTTACAATACTAGAAAATAAAATGTATGGGTCAAGTGAAATACCTTTCTAATGAGTCATAACAACAGTGTAGGTGTGTTCGAATAACAAGTTTTTACTAAAAGTACTTGACGACAGACTTTTTAAGTGGATCTTAAAAATGCATAACTTCAAAAAAAAATCTTTTTGTGTGAGTGTTATCTAGGATAATTAGTCTTTCAACCTCTGGACATTTTGAGTCTGCCCTTCCACAAAATATTTAATTAGAATTTTTTTAAATATTTTTGAACTTTCAAAAATTCCCCCTGACAACCGAGCAGACAATAGTTTTAAGTTGACCAAATGCATAAAATTACATTAAATGATGCTCAATAGCTAGTAGATACAATTGTCTTTTAACATACAACGGGCATAAAGGGATCGTAATGATGCTAGGTGGATAAATTTGTCGGTTTTCAAGAGCTAAATTGACAGCGCGTAATCACTACAATGGCTTCCATTTTTACGATTATAAAAATTAGGTGGCGTAATGGGGAGATTATTTTCACGAAGTAGAATCCTGACTGTGAACATTTGCCTAAATTCAAAAATTTATTAATATTCAAGCTTTCACTTTAACTAGCCATTGTCCATATATCAATATGAATCTTGCAAAAAATCGCAAGCATTTTAAAAGCAGATAAAAGTACGTATTATAAATGCAATGTGCCACTAAGCATAGCAATAACTCTAAACATCATCGTCATGGAATGAAATGATAATGTTATGTTAATCAATCTATGATGTTTAAGTGGTGATCAGCTGGTACATCATATTTCTCTTTATGTTCTTCAAATAACTGTGTTAATGCATCAATATATTGTTTATGTAACTGGTCCAATTGTTCTTGAGAAGGACTCTCTGTCTTTGGAACATCTATTGGTTTACCAACTGCAAAATGAAAAAAAAACGTCATTTAATCAATTGACACATTAGAAGAGGTTTTGCTTTTTTATAAGTTATTTGAGGTATGCTTATTTGACAGTAGTTCTGACGAGAGACTAGACGAACAAATTTCGTCACTTCCCTTATTGTCTGTTTGTCATTACAACTATTTGTTTTGTAATGATAGGATCTTTCTTCAATGTTCTGGATACCCAAATTCCATAAATGTCCTTAAAACGAATTGCTTATATCTGTTTCATCAGCAAACCAAGTAACTGTGAAACTAACAACTCAAGGGATGGTGTTAGGATTCACTAGATTTAGGAAGAAGTGTGTTAAAATTGTTCCACAACACATACAAATGTCTAATTAATATCTAGAGCTTGCATTTGATAGTGCGATACCATTGATAGAGGAGAAATCATATTTGCCAATGGAGACAAATAAATTGAGTTTGTTTCCCCTTTTTGTCATGACGGTGTTTCTTATAGTTTATTGTACGGTATTGGTTTTCTTAAATTAATCATTGTTGCAGGTTGTGTGGTGTGTTGATGTTGTCTGCATCTTCATCCTTTGGACTTTGGTGTTTTATTCAATTATACCTTATCTCTTTATTTTCATATACTTACAAACTGTATGAACTGGTTTCCTGAACGGTAGAAGGCCAAATGTATAGTTAAATATCCCTCGACCATGAAATAATGGAGGAGAAAATCCAAATTTTGATGTCATGAAATTTTGTATGCCTCTCAAAAATGAACCCTCTTTGTTACTTGCTTGTAGGTATAAATCTGTTTCTCCAAATGAATATACAGGAACTAAAGATGTCCTGAAAAACAAAATTACAAAATGATTTTCAACAAAGGACATTGGGAACCAGAATTAATTATTTTCCATCGAGTCAAATCAAGAGCTTGTAGTTTAGTGTTTGTCATTGTCTGCCATATTTGCTTTTTTTCGTTTCTGTTTTAACTTAAATGAAGCCGTTGGTTTTATTTTTAAGGTTGTTTCCCATTTTTTTCTTGCCGGGGTCATTTATAGCTTACTGCAAAAGACAATACATGACTTTGCCTCTGAGAAAATATACTTTTGGTTTGATATATGTTCTAGATGTTTAGATAATCAAAATTCAAAATTTGCAAAAAAAAAATAGTATCATAATTGTAAAGGTTCTAACTAGTACTCATCATCTAGTTATATGTTCAGAAATACGACAAATATATATGGTATCATATCTCTAAACTGTACGCATGAAAGCCTGTGCAGTTAATCTAGAGAAGCTAAAATGGACCTTTTTTAATTGAACCCGAAGGTAAAAAAGATTGGTAAAACTAACCTTACTAGGAACATACCCTGTTTTTAATGCTATTTTGATAAAACCTTTCCTATTTTTGAGTTTGAGGTTATACTGTCCTGGATTGGCTTCTAGAGCTTCTAAAGCGCCACCTACAACCAGTCCTAGAGCTTGACCAGATTTATGTTTTGTTAATATGTGTGTCATACTGTTTGCAGTAACAGCTACTGCGCCTGAAAAAAAGGCTGATGCATGTCAAATTCTGGTCACGCTCTTTGTATTCTTGAGCATTTGATGTTCGCGTGAATGTTCTCAGACATCAGCAGCGCTGGCATAATTTTTATTATATAGGTGTCAGTTTTTCAGTATTTTCAGAGCTTATGTCTAATCATGCATCCTCTGTGAACGTTTGATACATTTAGTTTGATCTTGATATCAGAGAATTTTGGCATATTATACAGGTCAGTAGATGTAGACATATCTGTTTTCTCTCGTTGAATATCTTTGGTTTAAGTATATGTTTTCTTTTAACTAAATGCTATTTTTAACTATTTGTCATCAAAATAATAGGGTTTTTTTTTCGAAAAAAAATTATAGAGATAGTTCGTAACTAAATATTGTTGCAAATGTCATTAATACGTTGCCTATTTGCTACACGTTATGAGACATGATAGTTAGATAAATGTTCCTGCCAAAGTTACACGAAATAAATGATTTTATAACATTGTAAACAGTTATTTGAATATCGGTAAGAATATTGTGTGAAAATATATATAGCACCTGAATGTATAAAAACATTTGTTTTTTTTTTTTATATAAATTGTCTTCAATTTGACGCTAACGTATCTCCCACTGTCAGTAATCAAACATTAAAATAAAATCACTTTCTTATTTTATGATTTTGCAATAATTACTGCAAATGCTGCAAATCAATTATTTTCATATTGTTTAACAAATTTTGAATAATATTTATCCAACTAAATCTATCACTGTTTTTATGAACCCTGGATCTATTGATTTTAATGACCTGCTCTTACCTCCTGCCATGAAATAATCTCGATATATTGGAAACTGAAAGTGTCCCGCTAAAACCATTAGATACGGCGTCAACCCAGGGAACTTCTTGCTCCACCCGGTTCCTTCTGTTGCAAAATTCCCAAAAGCGCTCACACTGAGTACACCATGCGGATGGAAACCCATAATGTAGTTTTTATCGGGATCTAAATCAGTTGTTTTGACAATTTTTAAGGGAAAATAGTTAGCAAAATGTGTCCAAATTTTCCACCTTCTTACCCAGTTAACTCGCCTACCGCCTCGCTCGCTTCTCCCCGAGTCAAAATAGTAGTAAAGGGCATAAAGTAATGGTATGTAATAGTAATTGGTCGCTATCAATACGTATAGAAACAAAAATAAACATCCGAATCCTAGAAATAAGAACGAAAACGTCCACTGAAAAACCGCAAAAGTTTGAAGTCGTCTTTCCAAGGGTACATCTAATGGTGCGAATTCAATCCCTAGTATCTTCATTATTCTGAAAAGAAAATGTATATTTTCACTATGAAAAACATCTGACCTGTAATGGTTTACCCTTTTAAATCTGTAATTGTTGTTAGTTGTGTAATTTTTACATTGACTCGATCTGTTCTTCTGACATCACTTCATTGCCGTCTCTTATCGCCTTAACAAAAATACCGAATTCCAAGGCAAATTCAAAAAGGGGAAGTCCGTAGAAATTGACAACATCAAATGCTATCAATCAGCGGAACAAATGAAAAACAACTGCTATATTCCTACCTTGGTTCGGGCATTTTCCGACGAAAATGGTAGGTTAAACCTGGTTTATAGCTAGCCTAAACCTTAACCCTCCCACTTGTATGACAGTTGTTTATAGTTCTGTTATATTGACATAATTGAGTGAGCAACCCAAACAGACATTCCAACTATGTACTGGCTTCCGTAGCTGCACAAAACTCCTTACAAATATAGATTTATTTCGTCTTCGAGGCATTGTTCCACTACTAAACTATCTATTATACTTACCAGTAAACTTGGTACAATAAAAAACCTGGTAATAAATTGTTCAAGTAAGGCCTTTGAAAATAGTGGAATTAATTACTTTTGGAGTGTCAAAAATTCGTTGGAAGTACTTGACAAATTGCATTCTTATATTGGTGATTTCCAATCTGTTCAAAGTTTTGATTTTTCTACCCTATATACCACTTTGCCTCATAATCTTATTAAGAAAAAAATCACACACCTGATTAAATGGGCTTTTAAAAAGTCGGAATGCGAATATATATGTTCAAACTCTTTTAGGTCATTTTTTAGTAACAACAAACAAAAGAACTATGTTAATTGGACCTGCTTTGATACTATAACTGCCCTTGAATTTTTACTAGATAACATTTTTGTTCGCTATGGAGATTCCGTATATCGTCAGGTTATCGGAATTCCAATGGGGACTAACTGTGCACAACTTATTGCGGACCTGTGTCTGTATTATTATGAGTTACAGTTTATGACTAAAATCAGCAAAGACCCATCGAAACAACATCTGTTACAAAAATTTAATAACACTTTTAGATATTTAGATGATATATCGGCTCTCAATAATGACGACTTTAGTATGTACATTAAAGAGATTTATCCTGCCGAACTGACTTTAAACAAAGCTAATACTAACAATGAACACTACCCTTTCCTGGATCTTGATATCTATGTCTTTGACGGGAAGCTTCATACCAAAATTTATGTTAAAAGAGATGATTTTTCATTTCCTATTGTTAATTATCCATTTTTAGATGGTAACGTTCCTTTGTCACCATCTTATTGTGTTTATATATCTCAACTTGTTCGATTCGCTCGTCTATGTAACAACGTATTTGATTTCAATGAAAGAAATCTCTGTATTACTGAAAAATTATTACACCAGGATTTTACCTATTCTGATCTATTCTGACATCGGACTCGGATTTCTTTTGAACTGAGTTTTACTGTGCGTATTGCTATGTGTTTCTTTATTCTACATTGGCTTGAGGTATAGGGGGAGGGTTGAGATCTCACAAAACATGTTTAACCCCACCGCATTTTTGCGCCTGTCCCAAGTCAGGAGCCTCTGGCCTTTGTTAGTCTTGTATGTTGCAGCCTTATCTGAACTTGGTCGGTTTCCACTGTACTTTGACTTAGTCAAATCTATTTTGAATTATTGGCTTAGACTAGAAAATTTAGACTCATTTCCTTTATTACAAGATGCATACCAGCATTCAAAAACTTTATTTTCTCAGCATAAATCGTCATGGTATGGCTCTCTCCAACAAATTTTAAAAACTCTTCATGGGTTTGCAAACCTAAATGATGGGAAAAATATTTCAAAAAATACCATCAGGAAAATATTGAAAGGGACATGCATAAAAATTTGGAAGGATCAACTGACCAAGAATTCAGAAGGGAAGCTCCGCACTTATGTAAAATTTAAGAATAATTATGGTTTCGAAAAATATCTAAATATCATGTCTAATCATTTTGAACTTAGGAGATCATTAACAAAATTTAGGGTGTCATCTCACCATTTGCAGATTGAAATAGGACGATACCAGGGTACTCCTCCACACCTTAGACTATGTCAGCAGTGTAACTCTGGTCATGTTGAAGATGAAGTTCATTTTCTCTTTTATTGCACAAAATATAACGAAGTCAGACACCATTTATATGACATTATTTCGGAATCATGTCACAATTTCATTAACTTAAATTCCCAAGAGAAATTGCTATGGCTGTTGTCTTGTGAGAACTTAACTGTATTAAAAGAGTTGTGTATATTCCTGGTTAAGCACTGCAAATAGCAGATTTATATGACATGTTTCGCATAATTAGCAATTGTTGTTATTTAAAAAAAAAAAAAATAATAATAATTATTTGTTAATTGACCGGATTCAGTTTCTCTATTTATTTTGTTCATCTGCTTCTGACACGGGGAGGATTGCTGTTATTGCCTATCGCAATCAACAGTATATCCTAGAGCACCGTCCCTTGAACAAATTTCCATCTTTATAGATAATAATTTAAGTTTGTTCAAACTTTATTATTAATACCTTTTTTTTTCTTTTTTTTTACACTGCTGGACATAAGGAAGGAAGGGAAAAAAAAATACTCAAGAGTACTTTTAATGTATTTTTGTTATTAATGCTATTTTCATTGTCTATTATAATATCTGTCACGTTATATACTGTACAATGTCTCATGTTTGTTGCTTATACTATCATAATTGTTAATTGTAAATGCCCCCTGTGGGACCATGATTGGAATAATAAATATTTGATTTGATTTGATTTGATTTGTATGTTTTTTTAATTTTAGTTCATTTACATGTTTTGGAGTTTAGTGTGACGTCCATTTTCACTGAACTAGTACACAATTTTATTTAGGGGCCAGCTGAGGACCACCTCCGGGTGCGGGATTTTCTCGCTGCGTTGAAGACCCATTGGTGGCCTTCTGCTGTTGTCTGCTCTTTGGTCGGGTTGTTGTCTCTTTGACATATTCCCCATTTCCATTCTCAATTTTATAATAGGCTAATGTGACAATAATTGGGATCTAGCAGCCAAAATTGTGTAAACATACACCAGAGACTTACAACACAACTGACTGAAAAAAAATTCAAACAAACATACAAATTAATCCAACACATATGCCAACAAAAAAATGTAGCAGATATAGTAAATTTGACAATGACGTCAACAACAAAAAGATATTGTCGTTGATAGTACATATCATATATAGTATACACTTTCGTGATAAAGTAAAAATAAAGTAAACATAAATACAAGGGTAAACAAAAAAGAAACAACAGTGTTAAAGCCCTTTGTGTCCGAATTGGTATTTGCTGTCTTTCGCTAAGCACGCAGCATTTATGAGTAAGAGCAAATACTGCACTGGTTGGCTCAGAGTCAGAATAATGTGTCCGGGTAAGGTGACATATTTTCCTGCATGAATCCGGACGGTTATCTTATAACTTATATCGTTAAATCCGCTCAGCGTGTTGGTCTCATACAAAGTTACAATGTGCGTGTGCCTGTCTACCAGTTATAAGATAAGATAAGATAAGATAAGATATTTTATTTCCAATTATGGGCCCCAAAGGGCATAAACATTACAACATCAATAATTTTTCATAATACAATACAAACAATGAGATAAAAAAAAAAAAAGTTAAACGAGAACTATTTAAGTTCTTAAAGAATACGTAGATAAAGAATCTATAGTATGTTGTTTTTTTTAATACTAATGCATTTTATTGCAAGTGTGGTTGATATAGATAACAAACAAGCAGCCCAAAAAGAAAAAAAGAAAAATAGATATCCACATATGTATAGTACACAAAAAGTTGGATCAATTAAATATATAATAATTAGCCAAAAAGAAAGTAGAAATTAAACATGTCCATGACTCATCCTGTGTCAGCAGCAAATAGGAAAGCATTATGGTTTCCTAAAGGCAGCTGACACCAGGGGGCGATACCTTATGGGCCATAGGCATGTAAAATGTGTGTAAATGTCTCTTTCCTACCTGTATCAAAAGCAAACAAGGAAGCATCATAGGTAACTTGAATGCAGTTGATACCAGGGGACGATGCCTCAAGGATATAAGAAAACATTTGAATAAATAATATAACTTAACAATTATTTTTTTTTTAATCGGCTAGTATGTTTGTGATATTCAGATGAATATAATTTTCTATGTCCAATCAAATGTATATACACACATAGATTTCCTTTTACTAATCTTCACTAAGGAAGATGTTTGTATATAAAATTACATATTATTTTAAGTAACTCAACATTTTCTACACTAAATAACCAGATAATTTTGCTTTGACTGCTCATATGATTAAAATAAGAATTATATTGTGCAATACTAGCTAACATACAATTTCTATCATCCTCAAATTTGTTACAATCAAATAGAAAATGAGCCTCATCTTCGACAGTATTGGAAGAACATTTATTACATATTCTGTTAATTCGGGGAATACCCTGATATCTACCTAATTCTATTTGTAATCTATGAGAAGATACACGTAATTTAGTAAAACTTCTTCTAAGTTCAAAATTCTTGATCAATGTTAGATATTTTTCAAAACCAAAATTTGTTTTATATAAAAGGTAGGTTTTCAGTTTACTGTCTGAAAATTTATCTATTTGTTTTTTCCAACAGCTAATAAACAATATTGATAGCTTGGTTTGTATATATTTCTTAAATTTGTATAAGGATTCACAAAATGGAGCATTTATGGCATTTGTATAGTCAATACCAAGTATTTTAAAAACAACATTTATTGAACCATACCATGATGTTATATTCATGTGATGTAGTGTCTTTGATTGTGTATATGCCTCTTTTAATAGAGGAAAATTATATATATAGTTATATAATAGACGTTTAAATAAATTCAAATAAACGATGAACTTTAATTCATACGGCCTTCGACGATTATCAAACGGGCAGCGGGTCCAGGGTGTGCTCCTGGGGTTGGAACCCTTCCTTTCAAAATGGCTGGATCCGCGCCAGAGTCCCGTACCGCATAGTAAGCTATATACGCCCTCAGGATGCATGACGAAAAAAAAATGACAAGACAGCAACTAACGACAACCACTTGATTACAGGCTCTTGGCTATAGATAGGCACATAAAAAATTTGGTGGGTTTAGACACAATGTGAGCACTCAATCCTCCGCAAAGCTGTGATACTGAACAATCTGACCAAACTTCAGATCTATTACAACTCGCATGCTCGTATGAGGATAGCGAAATCAGAGATCCATATTTCAATAAGATTGTGATACTGAACTAACGGCTGATCGTAAGGGAAAACTGTAAAAACCATTTGGAAAGACCTTGACTCAACATATCGGCACTAAGCATAAAGATGACCAAGAAAACGACAACACACAATTTAAAGCACCGATCTTTACTCGGGGTGCTCGCAATGTATACTGAAACTTAGTTCACAGCTTTACAAAATAAGGTGTAAATTGATTGAGAGACAGAGAACAGCTTTGTACAGATGTTTGGGCATTGTATTGGTTTAAGTTCAATTTCATTGGAACGTTAAGTAACGTTTTATTTTGTTGTTTTATTTTGTTTTTTGGGGGTTTTTTTTTGGGGGGGGGGTGCGTTCTTTTTGTTGAATTCAATCATATCTTCAACTTGTACTACTTCATAGACGTTTTACCACAATTAATGAATGTTTTAAAAGACTCGTGTATGGGTTCTCAAGATTCTATATATTATTTTTAAATTAGCAAATCAACGAGATCTACTTCATCTGTGTAATTACTTTTTGCTACAAAAAATGTAGGTCTGCAGAATTAATAAAATGCCAACAGTTATCACTAGACTTCATCTTCATGATTCCACCATGCACGTCGCTTTGTCATAATTACGACCATCTTCTATGGTATGCCATAAGAAAAAGGTCAAAATATTGGCCTAAGGAATCCTTTAAAAGATAGACGTGCCATGGACTTTGTGTTCATCGTTTCATAATTCAGAGATTTTGTGATAAATTTAAATAAAAATGTGTAGGATCTACTGTCGGCTACCTGTAAATTGATTGAAGGCCTGATATTTGTAGTTTGACCCTGACTTCACAGATATTCAATGTACTTTACAACATACTATTTTTAGTCAAACATATTTGGTAATCTCAATATTTCTGCTTGTCCTCTGTCATTTATCATGCATTTTATACAAATGTGAATTAAAGAAGAGTTTGAATATACGTTTAAGAAAAAGTAACCCGAACGACACTATTAACCAAAAGACACAAATTAAGTGGCAGACGGTGGTCCCCAACAATTGTATGCGTCAACATGACAAGCTTCAAATCGCCCTCAGTCAAAAAAATATGTACAATAGCGACTATAGTATTAAAGGATCCCGTTAACACAACTTTCCCAAAATGACAAAAACTTTAAGATACAACATCAAACAATCACTGACAAGTTTCCAGACATGGGGCATGCAGATGAACATGTTACGGACCCAAACTATTCTTCCGAGATTTCGATCAACCGTCCCCCTTTTATGCATCGACCGTTTTAAATGCATTGGGTTTTTGTTCTTCTTTTTTGTTGTTGTTCAAGTCTAGGGCATGCCGAAGTTGGATGCCAAATCTTTAATCAAAAAAGAATGTGATACAAATCTACTGTATGAGTTGCAAGGTGGTCTCTTAAAAAGCAATATGTATACAATGCAAGTTAATTACTTTACTTACATGTGTGATCGGTTAGTCCTACTTTTATAAATAAGTTGGAGGACTATACACTAAGAACGAGGTAGAAAATAAACATTTGATAACAACGACAAAGTACACATAATATCGTATTTATATATAGATATCCGTTTGAGGTTAATGACATAGCCGGTTGCAGTTTGTAAAACCGCGCATATTTGATTTTCCTTAACTCGAGAAACGCGCTTCAAATCAGTGGCGTAGTTTGCCTTCTGTTTTTACCGAGGCAGGGCGTCTGAGGGGGGGCTGCTATCGAGGTTTTTACAATTTGAACAAGAAGAATCCATTAAAAATTATAGTTGTTGATTAATTTTATTTCATCATAATAATGTTCATATGCCTTACACTACCGATTTATCAGTTAATTTCTGGTACCTGCATCAAATTCAATGTTCAGATGAATACATAAATCAAAAGCATTTACCACTTTTTCAAATCGAATCCTTTCAGTGAACTTCCCAGATTTAAAATTCTTTACGGATATAGGAGATGGATCTGTCAAGTTCAAAATTGTCCTGAGTCTATTTTAAAGTTGTGTATGATTTAAACCGATACTATCTAATACACGGTCAACTCAAAGTTATAAAAATAACAAAACATGTGAAGATATCACATAAAACAACCACTGACAAGTCAGTTTCCTGACATCCTAGCAGTAACTGAAAGCTAGCTCAAAAGCCTTATCTCCCAATATATTTCCAAGCCGTCGTACACTCTAATATAGGTGGCTGTACCTCACTGTGACATATGATTTAACGTCATATATATATAAAAAAAAATGAGACCTTGTTCGATGGACAGAAGAAACCTGTACAGAATTTTCAATGCAGAAAAAACAAACGCAACGATTAAGGTTTATTTGAAATAATTTTTGTGATGATCATTTACTCGCTTGGTCGTGGATCAACGAATTATAGATAATCACCACAAAACGACAGACGGATTGAACAGCAAAATTTCTTGATAAACTAGGAGATAAACACATGCTACGTGTAAAGAGCACCACGACACTTGTATTGGTTGTGTATTCCTTGAAAGGTCTTCAAATTATTAAATGGTTTTGAACTTTTTGCCATTCGCGATGAAAATGACAACCGCCGAAGTACTAACATTTACGTTATTCTGAAGTCTTCATGATAAATGAAAACAGTATTTGGTTGAAATTTTTATATATAAACTGACATTATTTATTAACTTACAGACATATAATAAATATTTCTCTGGAATTAGTGACTCCTTTAAATATTTTGAATTCCCTGCTAGTGAAAACTATAAATTCGAAATAGCGAGAATAAAACTTGAGAACTGCAACATATAAATTATTTTCTGTGCATGTTCATTGATGCATATTTTATTTTGATTGCTACCAAAGTTCTACACGTAGGGGAAAATTTCAACAAACAACGATGTTTCAATTTTAGAAGTCACGGTTATAAATGAGAGTTTTAATGCTCAGAATGGGGTTTTCAAATATTAATTTTTAATCATTTTCGCCTATAATTTGATTTTCCTTTCTTTTCTATTCTAGCACCAATTTAAATCTCTATTCTTTTGAGTTTAGATTAATTTCAGGTCATTTTTCTGTTTTCTATAATCCTCATCCAGACTCTAATATACTAGAAATTATTCTCACAAACAATTACATAATTTACCCGATTCAATGGTAAAGTGATTCGATCGGGGAAAACTCGTGAGTTGGATCATCATCTATTCTACTGAGTTCGCTTGCAATTAGGTAGAACTAAATAAATCTGTTGTCGATTTTTTTTTTACTCCGACAAATTTAGATTACAGAAAACTACCGTAAAGGTGATTTCCAAGTAGAGGAAGGAAATGTTTCCAAAAGTTTTGAATTCGCAAAGCGTGTGAATCAATAGTGGCAACAATACAAAACAAGTCGGTATATTAGCGTTTAGTAGCTAGTCTGCTGCAATATGCATTAGGTGGAAATTGTTTAAAAGATTATACAGTAAAGGAAAAGTTTGTTTTTTTTTCACCGAGGCCAACTGCCTCGGTTGTTCAACGTAAGCTACGCCAATGCAAATTAACATTAGTCCGTACAAAATTATGATCAATTGCCTCTCTTCTTTTAGGACAATGAACTATACGAACGGCAGTTAATCATTAAGTACTTTTTCAACGAAAATTCCGGATAGTCATGCTACAGTTAATAAGTAGATAATAAAAATGTTACTTGGTTTTAAATTTACATATAGTTCCATATAAGAATACTAGTACTAAGTAGTATTCTATTTTTTTTACTTTCACTATGTCTAGGTGGTTAACGTTGGCGGAAGCGCGCAGTTTTGATCTTTCAACAGAATTTTGAAAGAGGGGTTTGAGCATCCAGATTTTTGGGTCAGAATTTTAAACGGAACTGCAAAATGTGGAGAACAGCACTTTCAGTCAAGTCACAGTAAATATATTTACAGCTTGTCTATTTGATAACTGAGAAGTATATGAACGGGTAATGACTTTGCGTTAAATATATGTACATGTATATGGGTCAGAAATTTCCCAAAGTTTCAATACATGAAATGGGGGGGGGGGGGGGGGGGGGGTAAATCCCAGCAGCATGTCTGCACCCAAAATCTAATGGTGAGACCCTCTAGATCAATCCATGCAACTGACTTTCCCAGTGAAAGATGTGTGGCGAAAAGATATATATCTCTCCTGCAAACACTGAGAAATTAAACACTTGCCTCCCCCCTCAAATCTTGTTTGCCCCAAAACAATGATTGAATGCGTCGTAACCAAACTGTTGACGTTGTTACCTCTATTGCAAGAAGAGTTTCTTTTCTATTGTTCCCGCTTCTTGATGAGTTCCCACAATGCACATATTTATGTCAACATGCTTTCTCCGTCAATGTAGTGTATAAAAGGATGACATGAATTACCAATAGCGCATCAGACCACACAGAACAACAACCGTCTCCTCCTAGATGATAGACGTATAAACAAAAATTAGTAGTGACCCCAAACAAACATCCAAGGGTGAACCAGCCCTTAAAAATCTAGATTAGATAATGGTGCTGGTAGTGATTGGTATTTAACGTTGAGTGGTAAATATTACAAACGTATCAGGACGAAACATGTTAATTTGATATGAAGGCAGATCTGGATTGGGTTGCTCAAAACGTTGGATAGTGTTAGCCAGTGGTTTAACTGCTTATCCACTGGTTAACTTTAAACCAGTGGATTATTTCTATTGCTCAAAATTTGTCCAGTGGATAAAACGTGCTATCCGCTGGATAAACTTAGTCGGTACTTTTTGGCTGGTTAAGTTTTAGCCATTGGTTAAATTTCAGATAATTACATTGTTTATAACTCGTCAACCTTTATATCTGTCATATATGGTATTTTGAACCCCATGAAAATTTGATCTCGGTGAAAATTTTCACCCCCACCCCTAAAAAAAAGAAAATTCTTCACTTTATTTCGATGGTATGTCATACACAGTAAACACTCACTTGTGACGTTTTACATGGTGATTGTGAAGTCAACAACTTATAATATATATGTTGTGTACAAGTTATCATTTTGTACAAATTATAATTTGTACAAAACAATTGTACAAATTATAATTTGTATTTTGACTTTGTACAAATTGTAATTTGTACAAAACGTGCTTGTACAAATTACAATTTGTACAAAATTTGACTAAAATTCACTTATAACTTGTACAATAATTAATAGTATGGATTTTGTTGATACACACTATAGAATTTTTTATTCAATGACCACACCATAAACCTTACCTACAAAATACAAAAAAATAGTTCTGTATCATTTATTTGGGCATTCGAGTGAATTATGGCATCGGGAATTGCACAACATCTTTTGCTTTTTACATTTACTTTTAGAAGTGCTGCACATCCCTTTGCATTTACATTAAAGGAACGCCTGACCACCAGTTTTTGGAAGCTTTTTAAATGCTTCACGTACTGTAGCGAAAGTTGAATCTCAGAAACCATTGCTGCGAATAAAGATGTGTCTTTAACAGCTTCAATTTGAATTTCTCAACAAATATCCTGTTCAAATTTCTACAGCTGTTCCTATGCGGTACCCAAATTCTCGAGATTCAATAATTACGCCTAAGATATTTCGAGGATCAGCTTGGGCAAGATCCCACTGAGGAATTGGTATAATGACATTATGAACAGCAAGTTCTGATAATTTCTGTTTCGTTTTCTTGGTTAGATATTCGGCTTGGATCTGTTGGATAGACACCGCACGCTTCCTGTCACGTATGATTGGTGTTTCAAAGTCAGTGTCATCCTGATTGTCACACGGGCCAATTTCTATTATACTATCAGAACAGTCACTGGGGCCAATTTCTATTATACTATCAGAATTGTCACTGGGGCCAATTTCTATTATACTATCAGAACAGTCACTGGGGCTAATTTCTATTATACTATCAGAATTGTCACTGTGGCCAATTTCTATTATACTATCAGAACAGTCACTGGGGCCAATTTCTATTATACTATCAGAATTGTCACTGGGGCTAATTTCTATTATACTATCAGAATTGTCACTGGGGCCAATTTCTATTATACTATCAGAACAGTCAGTGGGGCCAATTTCTATTATACTATCAGAACAGTCACTGGGGCCAATTTCTATTATATTATCAGAATTGTCACTGGGGCTAATTTCTATTATACTATCAGAATTGTCACTGGGGCTAATTTCTATTATACTATCAGAATTGTCACTGGGGCTAATTTCTATTATACTATCAGAATTGTCACTGGGGCCAATTTCTATTATACTATCAGAACAGTCACTGGGGCCAATTTCTATTATACTATCAGAATTGTCACTGGGGCCAATTTCTATTATACTATCAGAATTGTCACTGGGGCCAATTTCTATTATACTATCAGAATTGTCACTGGGGCCAATTTCTATTATACTATCAGAACAGTCACTGGGGCCAATTTCTATTATACTATCAGAATTGTCACTGGGGCCAATTTCTATTATACTATCAGAATTGTCACTGGGGCCAATTTCTATTATACTATCAGAATTGTCACTGGGGCCAATTTCTATTATACTATCAGAACAGTCACTGGGGCCAATTTCTAT